CGGACATTTCTTTACCATTTAAGGTCAAATAAGGAAAGAATAGTGAGGATTTGTTGAGTACTTTTCTTCCCAAAAAAGGAAATTTATCAAGTCAGGGAGAAGGATTAGTTTTTCCTCTGCTTTATTCTCTGCTCTAACAATGGCACACTGCCTTACAAATGCATACTGTACTCAAGCACACATTTGATGCATGTGTACCGGAGTACTTCCATTATATGACACTTCCTAAATATAGAATGAATGGACTGATCAAGAAACTAACCAGCAGATTAATCTATAATGAAAATAATCATTAGTTACAGCCCTGTATTCACAATCAGCGTCACCTGAACCAACTGCAAAAGACAATGCTGCTTAAACATTAATGCACGAGTCATAATAATCTAATAATATACTGTATAACAGTATAAATGTTACTGCTCTATAGTTTGGGGTCACCCGTTATATTGCCGTTTTTCTTCTTCATTTTAACATAGATAGTTATTTATTGTTTCTATTATTTCTACATTTTAAGAAGCAGCAACATGCCTGTTAATTGTTTGTTATAGACTATTGATTATTATTGTTCACTCGAGACTGAGATTGTTCTTATTTAACCGTTACCCAGAGGAACCTTTGTTAACCACAGGGCAGCGTTTTCTTTTCCAAGTAACAAAATGTTGACTTTTTTTGCAGATTCTTCAAACTAAATAACATCTATTTGTGAAGAGAACTTTCTACAAACTACAAGCATAAAGGACCATTCAGAAACATAGAGTAGTCCTCTCTTTTAAGCTTTTGTGTATGTGTACAACTCATTATATATTCACTTTAAACACTCACCAATCTCTGCTTAGAGCACTTTACAGTTTCCTGATACATTTACTTATAACGGAGTCTTTTTGCCGTGTGGTATTAGTACTTTTACTTGAGTAAAGAATCTGAATATTCGCTCTACTTATCACTGCTGTGAGAAGCTGAAGGGGCGTTTAGATGTGATTTGGTTTGGTTGGTTTTGCAAAACAAACACAGAACGAGAAAGGGAAAGAGTGTTTTGTAGCCTCAGTGATGTAACTTCCCTCGTCGTAGAAGGCAGAAGCATACGCGGAAAACAGTTTCACATAACAAACATCAGGCAATGTGTAAGAAAATGAAGAAAGAAAGAATGCACTTGTGTTTTAAAAAAACAACGATGTTAGCCGTTCAAATATTTGTCTGCATAGTCAGTGAGTGAGTACACTTATCAAAGCAGATGAGATGTTTTTAAGCTACACCTCTTTGCTAGTCTAGTATTCAAATATTTGGCATTTATAGCCCTGCAGCTGCTTTGACTTAATGCTGGTGGACCTGATCAGCAGCTACGCTCAACCATTTATCTCAGGAATGCTGTAACTCCTGACTGAGACTGAAACAACGAACCCACACAGACACGCAGATCTTACTTGGTGAATATGTCAATAAGCTTCTTCCTGTTCCTCCTCGGCTCGGAGTCCTCCTCGAACTCCTCCATCTCTTTACCCAGGAACACCTCCTGGTGGAAGTCCTTGTTGAGGTGGCCATCCATCTCCATCTTCACCCCGTTCAGGTGGTCTGGGGGAAGAATCTCGTTCTCGTCCTTGTTCGGAGGAGACTTATCTTTAAAGGCCGACATATTGGCTGGCCGCGCGCGCACGTCCTCGGTTTGGAGCAGGACGCAGAAAAGCAGAGACACAGCCAGAAGGTTTCCGCAGCACAGTTTCCTACAAACAGCCATGACTGTAAAAAAATGTAAAAGCAAAGGTTAAGTTATGCGAACCAACTCTGAAAATAGATGCATCGATCCAAATTAGCTAAGACAAGATAGTGTTGATGCCTGTACATCATCACTTGTATAGTTTTACACCAGTGGTGCCCAACCTGGGGGTCGGGATCCTCACTAAGGGTCGCCAAAGCTTTATTAGGGGGTCATGAGGGCTAAAAAAGACTTAAAAATATACACTGTAGGCTTATATCTCAGCATTTTGTCTAATTCTGTTTAGAAAAATAAATGAACAGACACAGAATTGTACAAAAAGTTCGTAAAACCATCAGAAAACTCACATCTGACGTAATATTTACATGAAATAATCTGCTCCAAAGTCCAAACTGCTTGTTCTACACAACCTTCCTGCAGTTATTTGGGTTCACTGAACAGTTTAAGTTGTTCTGTACTGTTAATATCCATAAAATATATATCAGGGGTCGTCAGTTTACTCAATGATATATAAAAAAAGGGATCCCTTAAAGAAAAAGATTGGGAATCTTTTTTTTTTTTAACACTGTTTTCCTCATGTCGCGTTCACGTCCAATTGGATTTCCCGTAATTGCATCACGCCCACTGGAAATTCCCATTCACGTCAACCTCACTTCTGGCACGTAAGGTTAAGTTATGTTGGGAATTCAAGAAGCAATATTGTTAAAAAAATAATAAAAACAGCTAGCCAGAGTCAACAGAAGCCTTTGACATCCACGAATACACAGATATATGCAGTCAAAAGCGAAAGAAACACTAGACATCAAACACACTCAAAGGCGATTTTAAAACTCGAGTAATGTCCTGTAATGTTTGTTCTCTGGCGATTTAAAAAAGCATTATAAACGCAGTTTGGTTACTACAGACGTGAACGCCTTAATAGTGCTGTAATAAGGATATAACGACATCTTAGCTGTCAAGCCTTTAACGTTACATCGTTATATTTATGCGTTAATATGATTTATTACGTGCTCATAAAGCAGCCAACGGTTTTCTTAACGTTAATTTAACGGCCAGCTCGTGAATCTAGCCTCGTCACGTCATTCGAATTATTTGACACCGCGGCTAAGTGACGCGATGCTAGCTGAGGGGCTAACACGCGCAGGCTACTAAAACACCCTTGATTAGCGCTTAACCGGTGTAAGAAACCAGTCTAAACCTACAGCGGGAGAGGAGGACAGTGTTCAGTAGAGAGGCTACCAACCTGGCAAGCACGACGACTGCACGACACTACGGAGAAGTTCAAACGACTGTGGGAGTGAGAGAGTGCCAGCTGGGGCTAAATGCTAGCTGGTAAAACTGACCTGAGGCCAGCTGTCAGATTCCAGTTCCTGTACACGTGGCTCCGCTGCTACACTCCTACTGCACAATGTGGGACGACGCGAAGAAAACACGGAGCGGCTACAACAAGAAAAAAAATAGTAAAAGTCCTGGTCGATGTTCCAGCCAGCGGTAATTCACTCAAGCTGTCAGCTGTACTGGTTTGTGCGCAGCCGCGGAGCTTTCTGTGACGCGTTCGTAACGTGTAACTTCCGGTCGGCACTTTCAAAATAAAACTAAATAACTTAGATAGATGGATATTCTTTTATTTATTTGTCCCACATTGGGGCGATTCCAATGTTTCAGCAGCAAAGTGGAAAGATAAAAAACAGTAAGAGTAGGGAAATAATAAAACACTATGTACAAGAGAAAAAAACAGTAAGAATCCACAACAACAGATAACACAAATAGTAGCAGCACATGGGCAATAGATTGCACAGTGACTATGGGATGGTAAAAGTAGTAAAAGCAGTGATATTATTCATTTTTGGTGGGGGTCTTTTATTCTCTGTTATTCTACCTCACTTCTACATGAGAATTAATTGTTTGGATTTTATTTTTGCCCAGTGCCTCCTGAAATGATTTAATCCTGGGACCGGCCATGTAATTGGCTAAATGTTTAAAATAGTTCACTAAAGTAATAAATGGCTGAAAAAAGCTGACAAAGACAAACCAAAAAAAAAAAAGTCTTGTTTTATTTTAAAGGCAAAATTACCCAATTTCCTGTTTTGTTCTGTTTCCCTCTATCCAACTTGACTGTTGGCTGCTGCTGCTTTCACACAGATGTGCCAGCGGATACAGGAACTAGGATGGCACCAGTGTGGAGCCATAATGGAAGGGTACTGGTTAGTTGCTTGTACTGCAGGCTGCTGCCTCTGGGTGGCGCTGTGTTAAAATGTAATAATATCAAGTAGACCAAAAAGCAGTCTAAAAAAGTTAGTTGTGAAGTAAAAAAACAAAAAAAAAAGTTCTGGTAGGCACTCATGAGCTAACGTGTTATTTATCATAATAAGAGTATGAAAGGGCTGAATTCCTTTTAGACAAATGAGCTGATTGTAGGAATACCCAGACCAACAATTTGTAAAACACATCAGTCATATGTTATTTACTGAAACCTGCAATTTATGCTACTTGAAATGTAAGTATTACTTCAAAATCTTTTCCCTAATAGAGCGTCCAGAAAAGTGAGACATTTTGCTGAACATAAACACAGGAGAAAGCAAACTGCGGTATACAGCACAGACAGGATTCTTTGGCAGGTTTTCAATCAACAGATTACACAAGATAATGCCTTAAGGTCACAAAAAAAGTCAATTTCAATATCTTGCTTGGATCTAAACACAGGGCTTTGGTAGAGTAGGCTAATATTGAGCCAAAATGACAGACACTCTCAGGCAGATACACGACTCTATACACATCACACACACACACACACACACACACACACACACACACGACCTGTCTGCCAAAGAACCTCTTCAGCTTGAGCATTTCATCTGTGAGATAAAACAGAGCTGAATAAGCTAGTAAGATTGCCAACAGAGGCAAGGGAGAAGAGAAGCAGTGAGAGAGGCAGGGAGAGGGAGTGGGAGAGGGGGAGAAAGAGAAGCGGGAGGGAGAAAGGGTGATGATAAAACTCCACTGTGAGCCCTCCTGTAAGCTCAGTCAGAGCAAAGAAGCAACTGAGACCAGAGGGACAGGGAGTGCAAACGGAGCAAAGAAGAAAGGGACCCCGCACAACAAGTCACTCCTCTCTGACGTGAAACTCGCACGTGCCCTTGGACTTGATGACTTGTTGGGGAGAGTTTGAAGGGAGCACCTGAGTTGTGTCAGACAGAAGCAGAAGAGCACACTGCTACCTGTGTGACGTGAGGAGTCAGTTCCTACTTTAAGGAGAAAAGAAGAAGACTGGGCAAAGATCAGAGCTGGACCTCATCCATCCCCGTCTTGGGCTGCATCCCCCCGGGTGTGTGGTGTGCGCACAGACAGATTGATTAGAACACCGAACTGCATCTTTTGAGGAGAGCCCGACTGTTGTGGATCTTGCAGCTTTTCCAGCCACCGCACAACTTTTCTGGAGACTGGATCCACTGCTCAGTGTGAGAAACAGCAGGAGACAGCAGTGGGAAAAAGAGAATATTGCCATCCATCTCTAGCCCCCACAGCCCACCCTCATCTTTGGACGCCCCTCCTCTCTGCCTCTTCTTTTGCCCCCTGTAACCCCCCC